CCCCCATAAAACTTCAATGAAGACAAAACAACAACAATAATAACAACAATTCAGTAAAATCTCACTAGTGATGTTTGCAGAGGATAGTGTGCACGCAGATTTTATCCCTGCCCGAGGAAATAAAGAGGTTGTTTCCAATAGACTCTCGGCTCAAGAAGACAAAAAGAACCAACTTCAATGAGAAAGAAATAATAATGGTAACTTTCTTTAGTTTTTATTTGTACAAGAGCAGAGCGGCAAATGGTTGAATCTCGGTGAATCGTGAAAGAGAGTTCACTCATTTACAATATTTCATCGTGTATTTAAATCGGCTTGCAAAGGATTCTGTCCGTCACTCGATGAACAAAAAGAAAGGTCGCTCATTTATAATATTTCATCGCGTATTTAAATCGTCTTGCATAGGATTGTATCGGTCACTCGATGAACGGAAAGAGAAGTCACTCATTTACAATATTTCATCGCGTATTCAAATTATCTTGCAAAGGATTCTGTCCGACACTCGATGAAACACATTACTGTACTGATAACGCTTGACCCACAATACAAAAATTTGTTCCCCAACAAACATTCTTTAGACTCTCTTACTTCCTTATTTTTTTCAAGGGTTTCATAAAATTAGGAATCTTTCCAATTATTCCAGTCCTCAGGGCAGTACCATTGAAGTGTAGGAGGTTGTTCATCTACGAACAAAGTACTACATGATTCCTCACTGCTGAAAAAGTTGTGCTCCTCCATTTTCACAAACTGTGGCTGATTATTATAAACAACTTTGTCCTGGCCATCCCCAACAATTGCTTTTGGATTTGAGTCAAAGAATTGGAAGCAATTCAATGAAGAATTTGAAGAGGAAGAATTTGATCCTCCATTGTTGGAAATCAAGAAAGCTCCAGATGATGAAATGGCAGCATAATTTGGGCTGTTTTCTTCATTCAATATTGCACTTGAGTCACTATCTGATGACCCATCTTTGAAATCAGCAAAAATATTGGAGCCATTTATAGTTCCATTTCCACCATTAAAGCTCTCAAAGTTGAGTTCTGTACTATCATCTTCACAATTTCCAAGAGAAAAAGTATTGTTGTTTGGCTTGCTTTGGTCAATATCTTTGTCATCAGTTTCAGATTCTATAGCCTCTTCTTTCACATCAGCTTTGCTTTCATTATTTCCCCCATCTAGCTTTGATTTCAGCTCACAAATCTAAAATATGTCAAAATAAAAACAAAAATCAATACAAAATTGCAAATATAAAATAAACTTATGCATATATGTAAAGTAAAATTGCATAAAATTGATCTAATAGTGCACTAGACTAGCATTTCTTAAAATTTACATTTTCCTAAACAAAATTTATCTACACATTTGTCCTCAGGGGTTTGAGCCGTGAAAGCATCAACTAATGCTTGTATTGGGTTAGAGTGACTATATCACACCCTTTGGGTGCGACCCTTCTCCACCTCTACGTGAACACGAAATACTTTGTGCATCGAGAGCTTTGGCGTTACTGGTAAAGTTAATGCATAATGGGAGTTTAGTGCACTAGGCTGCCTTTTATTCTTGAATAAAACATTGAAATTATGATTTAAAAACCAGTTATACCTCTTTCAAGAGAGCTTCATTGTCATGTTGTAGAGATTCATAGTTATGTTTGAGAGAATCAAAACTGGCTTTGAGAACATTGTAATCTCTCTCTAATTGCTTTGTCTTCCACCGTGCACGGCGGTTTTGGAACCAAATAGCAACTTGTCTTGGTTGCAAACCAAGTTCTTGAGCCAACTTCACTTTCCTCTCAGGTTCAAGCTTGTTATCCACTTCAAAATTCTTCTCTAAAGCCTTCACTTGATCCACCCTTAGCCGCCGTTTCTTCTCCGATCCATGGCCGGATTCTTCCACGCAGGGTTCATCGTCTAACCCTAATTCTAACATGGATTGAAAGTCCCTTGAATATACTTGGTTGTTCCATTGGTGGTGGTCATCTAAAACAAGGACAAAAGAACATGAGAAAGACATAAATAAGAGAGCACATGTAAGTAACAAAAAAGTGTTCTTAATTTTTAAGTATCTCTATAAAACTTGTATATCGAAGGGGAGCCTGGAAGTAAGGGTAAAGTTATTTCCGACCAATAGGTCAGGGTTTGAGTCATGAAAATCGGGGGTCTATATCATATCCTTGCAGGCTGCGGCCCTTCCTTGACGTAAAGGGGAGATACTTTGTACACCGGGCAATCCTCTTTTACCCAAGTTTTATACCATCATGTAAAATTTGATGACAATAATAAGTAACTTTTCATGTTAAAAGTATTAGGGTAGATATTACTACTTAGTCAGTGTATATATCCTAAATTCTACTGTATTTTACACCATCAAATTAAGGTGACATACAATTATGGGTAGCTACCTATAGTAATTGTGATTCACGAAAGTAACTTGCTATAAATGATTAAGAAAACTTTGATTGTGTAAAGATATTTGCACCACAAGTACTAGCTAAATCTATACGTTATCCAGAAAAAGAACAAAATTTCATGAAAAAATAAAAGAAGAATAAAAGTGAAGATAATATATTTAACCAAGTAAGCAAAGCACCTGTAGTATTTTGACACATGGACATCATAGGCGCACCCAAAGAATCAGAGCTACGAACTCTCTTCATTGTTGCAAGTTTCTTGAAAATTCAATATTTTTTGGATCAACCAGTAAGATTTTAACCCCTCTTTGGTTTTCAGTGGGAAAAATTGTACAGAAAGTGAATGAGAAGAGAGCTGAAAAAGGAAGAGAAATGCTAAGAGCAAGCTTTGAATTTTTTCTTGTCACTTATATTTTTCACTTATAAAAAGACATGACAAGAAAAACTTGCACCACCAAAACCAACCAAAATGGCACAGATTTTGGTGAATTTAGTGAAATTGTACAAACCCTCCTTATCTCCATTGGGTACAAATACATAGTTCTCTTTTTTAATGGATTCTGCCACTTCTGAACCCATCATAAGCGAAAAAAAATTAATAAGAAGACTAATAAAATAAGATCAAGAACTAAGGTAAATTCCACACTTTCATTATTTCTCAATCAACTTTAGAAGACAATGGTATAAAGGAAAAGTTAAGGGGAGAGACAAAGAGTGGAGGAAGAAGAAATATTGAGATCAATTCACAACACAGCTGGCTTAGCTCATTTTTTCTCTCTTTAAATAAAACCAAATCTGGGGTCAGATGTAGGGTTAGGATCTGACTGGGGTTAGGTGTACACACATTTGTATTTTTTGGCAAATGAAATGAAATTCAGTGTAAATGCAACTTGATTTGTGATACAGGCTTTACCCCAGTAAACTTGACTTTTTCATAGGAGATCTTTTTCACTGAGGTCAAAATTGCACCATATAAAAGTTACTGTACAGCAGGCCGACTTATCATTATTTTTCTTGTTTTTAAGAAAACAGTTAAAAAGAATGAAATGGAAAAAAAATAAACAATAAAATTTTGCTTTTGTATGGATCAAAATCTGACCAGACAGGAATCGGCGTCAGAAGGGACGGCGAAAAGTTATTTGGAACTGTCGTTTCCATACCATGTTGTAACGATACGCACCTCGGCTACGGCCGAGATCACGTATTCAGAATGCTTGAGAGGCGAATTGGATTTTACGGTATTTCAGAGGGTCAGCCCGTAATATAGTCAAACGACTTAAGTACTATGGGTAATGACCGTTGGGTAAAGGAGAAGACGTGATCGGGTCTTAGAATCCTCAGGAAAGTGTAAGCACCTGTATACAATTTCTATTTTGGTATATAAGCTAAGTGAGAAGAAGAAGAAAGGGGGCGTAAAACAGGGGCACACAGACATTGTGACGACCCAAAGGGGTCATCACCTGTATTCCTACTCCCTTGTACTTCTGAGGCCGCGAAAACCTCATTTGGGGTTGCCTTGAGTTTGTGTGCGCAGTCCGGGCGCGTAGCCGGAACGTTTAAATATGAATTTGTGAGAAAAATAATAAATTTGATGTTAAATTGATTGAGTTTGACTTTGGTCGACGTTTTGGGCAAACGGACTCGGACTCGTGATTCGACAGTCCCGGAGGGTCCGTAGGAAATTTTGGGACTTGGGCGTGTGCCCGGAATCAGATTCCGAGGTCCCAAGTCCGAGAAATGAATTATTATGTGAAATTGTTTTCTGAAAATAATTAAAGAATTTGAAAGTGTTATTTGTTTAGAAGACTGTGCTGTTGGGCTCGTATTTTGGTTCCGACTCCCGGCACAAGTCTTAAATATGATTTAAGCAATTTCTGTAAAGTTTGGTTAGATTTGGACGTCGTTTGACGTGTTTTGGGCTAAAAACTCTAAACTTGAGGTCTTATGAAAATTGGAAGGAAATCATGGGTCTTGAGGCCTAATTTGATGATTACGATGTTGTTTTGGCGGTTGGATTGCACGGATGAGTCCATAGGATGTTTTTGAGTTAGTGTGTGTGTGCTTGGTTTGGAGCCTCGAGGGCTCGGGTGAGTTTTGAGTAGGTCCCGGGAGGCCTTAGGCTTAAAGTATCAGATGTTGCAGTGTTGCAGGCCCCAACGCGGCCGCTGTCATTTCCGCGCGGTCCGCGCTGGAAGCCACGCGGCCGCGGTGCAGTCCGCGCGGTCCGCGTGGCCAGATTCAGAAGGGTCCCCAGCCTTGGTTCGACCAGTGCGGCCGCGCACCAAGTTCGTGCGGTCCGCGCTGGGAGATTCAGAGAAGGCTCCAGGTGCAAGACACCAGCGCGGCCGCGCACCAAAATCGTGCGGTCCGCGCTGGGTAGGTTCAGAGAGCCATTTTCTTCCCTTCCTCGGCGCAGCCGCGATGCATCTTTGTGCGGTCCGCACCAGTCCTTCAGCAAAGTATATAAGTCGGGATTTTCAGCCATTTTTACACTTTTTCAAAACCCAAAACACAAGAGGCGATTTTCCAAACGATCCTTCTTGTTCAAAACATTTGGTAAGTATTTTCTAACTGATTTTCTTTACTCCTTAACATCTTTAAACATAATTTCAACTTCCAAACAAAGGTTTTTAATGGGGAAAATTGGGAATGTAGGGTAGAACCTAGGTTTTCTAAAATTGGGGGTTCTGGACCTCAATTCGGGGTCCGATTCCAAAATAACTTATATATCTAAGTTCATGGGGGAATGGGTAATCGGGTTTTGGTCCGAACCTCGGGTTTTGACCATGTGGGCCCGGGGGCATTTTTGACCTTTTGGGATAAATTGATGAAAAAGCTATAATTAGTTATTGGGTTTGATTTGTTTAGCATATATTGATATCATGGAGTCCTTATTGCATAGATTTGGTCGAGTTGGAGCCGAATTCGAGAGGGAAAGCGGTTGTGGAGGATTGTATTGGCCGTGGAAGTTGAGGTAAGTGTTTGGTTTAACCCTAGCTTGAGGGAATAGGAGTCGAGTCTTGTTTGCTAATTGCTAAATGATCGAGTACGGTGTGTAGGCATGGTGACGAGTTCCTATACATGGGGTCTAGCATGACCGTGAGTCCTTATATGCGAGTTGTTTGGATATTGTTATGCTTTCCATGCTAATAATGGCCTCTATACGTGGTGGAAACCTTGTGAAAGACATTGTGATTGTAGAACTTCGTGGAGTATTGGCTCGGTCTGAAATACAGACGGTGAGAGCATATGAAATGAGAGTTGCATTAGAGTTTGACACGAGTGCTAATGAGAGCTAGGATATGAAAATGAAAGAAAAAGAGAAGTAACGATTTACTTGCATAGTTGTTATTGGTTGTTTGTGTACCCTTGTTGGGATTTCCTTCCAAATACTTGTTTACTCCCTAGCCCTTTATTTGTGACTGTTGCTTGGGCAAGGTTGAGAGGTGTACATTATGGATCGGGTTGCACGCCGCAACAATGTTATATGTGGATCGGGTTGCACGCCGCAACAATGTTATATGTGGATCGGGTTGCACGCCGCAACAATGTTGTATTGTGGATCGGGTTGCACGCCGCAACAATTATTGATGCAAACGTGTTTAATGTCGGTATTAGTTACTTGTTCGCTTTAAACTGTTAGTTGCACCTAGATTGAATACCTCGGATTTACTGCTACTGTTGTTATCTCCCCACAGCATGTTTCCCCCTCTCATATTTTTTTTGTTGCTTGGTATTTTGCTTCCGTGTATATTTATAACTGCACAAGTTTATATGGTGTCCAGTCTAGCCTCGTCACTACTTCGCTGGGGTTAGGCTAGACACTTACCAGCACATGGGGTCGGTTGTGCTGATGCTATACTCTGTGCATTTTTGCACAAGTCCAGGTTTTGAGCAGCAGCAGCATTAGCACGGGGGCGTACCTTCAGTCCAGAGAGAGACCCGAGGTAGCTTGCAGGCGTCCGCAGGCCCGGCGTCTCCCTTCTATCTTTACATTTTGGCTGTCATCTCATTGTACCTGAGATAAACAGATTATGTTTCTTTCAGACCTTATATGTAGAATTCCTTAGATGTTCGTGAGTATGTGACTCCAGTCCCGGGGTAGAGATATATGTGTAGAACTTCTGTATGACTGATCATCTATCTACATTTAAGTCTTCCGCTTATGATTTAATTCCGTCGCCTTTATTTAATGCCGTTGATTGTCAAAAAGGGAACATGTGTTTAATGAATTTGTTAATTAAAGTTGGCTTGCCTAGCTCTGTTAGTAGGCGCCATCACGACTCCCGATGGTGGAAAATCCGGGTCGTGACAGACATGCTCTCTAAAAGAGGGAAAAATCCACATCTCTTTGACTCTCACCGAAGGAGGAAGAAGCAAGAAAGTTCGTATCCTCAATTCATATCAACAGTCTCACCGCAACAAATGTATGGGGTCCCACCTCTTTAAAGATCGGTGACTCTTTTCATCTATGTATTTTTCATAGTTGTTCAGTGTCATGAAAATCATCATCTACTTCTATATAATGGGATTTTATCGATGTTATAGTTAAATCTTATGTGTGCTATGCTTCCTTACCCGCATCTTCTACCTTAGATCTAGAGCAAATTATCGTTGGTTAATATTTGCCTAAAATCTTTTTATTTAATTAGTTTAACACAAAGTTTAATGCTTTTTGATCGAACAGCTTTTACTCTTAAAATGACGGCCCTCACGTCCAAATACACACTTAAATTTGTGTTTAGACATTTTTTTCCAAGTACTAAATCCAAATGCTAACAAGAAAAATTAAAACAAAGAAAATGAACACAAAAGGAAAAGACAAACAAACCCATTTTCTAGTCCAAATGAACTTTTGTTATTATTTTTTAGCATATTGTTTTTAGGAGAATTGTGTTGAATATAAAAGAGGCAAGATATGTGTAGACAATAAATTTGCGTCGAGAAAATAAATTAAGACCGAAAAATATTGCAACAATCGTAGTATTTTATTTTGAATATTTGAGTGTTACAATCTCTATGAATCCTCTGATTCTTCTTTTCAATGGTAAATAAATTCAAGGGCCTTTGAGCTTGATCTTGAATATGTATTTGTTGCCTCGAACGATGATCTTGAATTCAACTGGCACGAACTTTGATTTGAACTCGCACTCCTTGAACCTTGATTTGTTCTTCGTTCTTGAGCTTGAACTTGATTTGTTCTTCGTTCTTGAGCTTGAACTCGATTTCTCGAACTTGAACTTGAAGCTTGAAACTTGTGGAGGAATTTGCAGCGTTTGATCCACGAGCTCTTTCTTGCTTCTTGTTATAACTTCTGGTCCCTTTTCTGAGTTATGAAGACCCCTATTTATAGTTGTGGAAGGGAGGAGTCATGATAAGAACAAACTCTTTCCGACCAATCAAATTGAAATGTGACATGGCCGCATTTGATTGGCCAGAACATGTCACTTGCACACGTGGCACGATTTCATTGGCCTTTCAGTGTGACTGGGCATGCCTTGTCATTTTGACACGTGGCATGGTCATATTGGCTCTTCCGTTTGACTTGGCGTGCCACGTCATTTGACACGTGGCACCAAACTGGGCCTCTAGGAAGATTACATCTTGGGCTTGATGAAGTGGGCTCATCACTTTAGCCAAATTAAATGGGCTAGCCCAATGGATTAAGACTTATTTATTTAATCCATATATATTGGACTTATATAATTAATTCAATTATATATTAGNATTTATTTAACCCATATATATTGG